AAGAGGGAGGAAGGAGGAGTGGTGGTAGAATGGGAGGAGGAAGGAGTGGTAAGTGGAAGAGGGTGGTGCGGGAGGGGGACACCGGACACGTCCGTGAATGTTTTGTTTAGTTTTATTTTCTTTGGTTGATATTGTGATAAAAGATTTATGCTTCTGTTTTTAAATGAAAAATTAATAAAAATTTATTTTTTTAAAAAAATATATATATATAAAATATATTTTGGTCTTTATTATAAAGGTGGCTCTGAACTGATTTTGACATTAAAAATAAATACACATGAAATATTAGGATCACATGTTAAGTTTCAGTTCAGAAGATTACTTAAGTTCATACATAAAAATATGGTTACTAAATGGAAAACCCTTTCTGTATTGGCTGACAGACTATCAAATGGTGGGAATAATGGTCCAAGGAGGGTGGATAATAACAGCAATGGTCCAAGCAGGTTGAAAAGAAGCCTTCCAAGAAAGCAGCCACAGCTAGACACTAGCTGTCCATGTTATAATATTCCATACATTTTATGTCAAAATGCACTTGTAACAACAAAAGCAATAACTAACAAAACCAATTAATCTAATTAACATATAAGATGCAATAAGGCATTGCTACTGAATGATACTGACATTGGAAACAATTAGTTCAACATATATTTGCATGCCAGGTTGTTCTAAGCTCACTAGACAGTACCGGCTGTGTTAGTAAAGTCAACAGGCCACTCCTCTTCAGCCAAGGTGGAAATAGGTCAAACAAATAGCAGGATCCTTATTAAGAAGTAGGGAAAGAAGAACTAGCACACCAGCCGAAGGCCCTCCATTGATACAGTAAGAGATGGAAAAGCAGGCCCAAGAAGGCAGTGCAGTTCCATGAAACTCAATGGAGATTGAGGCAGATGCTAAAGCACAGCATGAGTACATCTATTTACATTTTATAAGTTTTTTAATAGAAACAATTGCTGGAAAAGATAGTTACATCAAACCATATGCCCAGTCAATTTTTGTATGTTGGCTCATGTTACTTACTGTCCAAGGAAATCTTTTGTCTTGGCGCACTTGTGGAATATTAAGAGGCTCCATAGTATTCTTGACATACTGGGCATACATATAATTAATTTGGTCTGTATCATTGTTTCTGTTGAGATAGAAAAAGAAATGGACTCTGTTAACTGCATTAATTATCTACTCTTAGAAACAAATTTTAATGGTCAATTAAGCATATGAAAAGCATGTTGTATCAATGGCTGATATTCCAAATAATGTTACATAGATCTTATGAATGCTCTGAATACAGCTAACATGCTTGAAGTCTTGGATTTTAGTAGCTATGATGCTTAATCCAGTAATTTTCCATTCTGTAGTTTAAGTAATATGTCTTTGGGAAGTAGCCATGATAAACTTCAACATAATCTTTATTTTCAAGAAATGCCCCACATCCTATGGGGAAGATATATATACACCTACCTCTAATCAGTCTTTAGCCTGATCCTGAGATCTGGAAGACTTATGCTACATCTAACTTTTGAGGTGCCTTACCATAAATATATTAAAAACAACAACATTTTACATTTTAAAAAGGTCATCTCAGAGCCAGGAGTGATCCAAATATATTACATACAAGGAAAAGTTACTAACAGGGCTTTTTTTCTCATAGAATGCCCAGAATGGAGTTCCGGCACCTTTTTTGGATAGAACCTTGTAGGGTAGGCAAGGCGGGTTGTATGAAGTGTGTGAGTTCCGGCACCCTTTTTTTTTTTTTTTTTACAAAAAAAAGCACTGGTTATTAATATACTGAATCAGTGTTTAGAGGCCTTATTGAAATGGCTGAAAGCAAGTACAGAGCTTAGATATCTAATTCCTTAACTGTCTTCTCCAAGATTTTAAGAACAAAATAGTTTTTGCAATGCCCTCACCAAAATCCTGAAATATAATTTCTGAATAACTAACTTGGTATTCTTCTTAATAGCCTTGTTGATTGGTAAAAATATTTTATTCAAAAAGACATTTGCTCTAAAGATAATACCAAATTCACTTTAACCCCACATTTTAGCAGTTTCATTGTTGTTTTGGTACTATTTACAACCACAATTGAGCCCAAAATTTCCATAGCTAAACAAGACAGTTAAGTCAGTTGTGCCTCATTTTACAACTTTTTATCACAGTGGTTAAAAGAATCCCTGCATTTGTTAAGTGAATCATACAGTTGGCTTCCCCCATTGACTTTACTTGTCGGAAACCAGTTGGGAAGGTTACACATGGTGATCACATGATACTGGGACAGTGCAAAGGTCATGAATATATGCCAGTTGCCAGGTGCCCGAATTTTGATCATGTGACCATAGGGATGCTGCAATGATGGTAAGTGTGAAAACTGGTCACAAATCACTTTTCTCAGTGCCATTGTAACTTTGAATGCTCACTAAACAAATGGCTGCAAGTCAAAGACTATCTGTACTCAAAATACTTTTGCACTGGCCTGATAATCTTCCATTTAAAATTCATGCTCTTCACTGGGCAGATCACAAGAGCATTTTGAAGACTCAAGATTCCAAAGCTTTTTTTACTGTCATGGAGATATAGCTAAAAATAAACAATTTCAAAGCATCTCTCTGCAATGACTAATGTTTCATAAATCTGCTATTATTAACTCTTTTCTATTTGAATCATCTTATCCTTTCGTTTGTTTGCTAAAAAAAAGGCATTTTATAAGGCATATGAGCCATTATATTAAACAAAATATTGATCTGTATAGTTCTGTTTTAAGAAAGATTAATTTGCAGGCCTCCTTGAAATAAGAATTCATAGTTTACTCAGGTTGTAAATTTCCAACTAGGCTGGTTGACATTTTAGTCTTAAACACATTTAATTGCTGCCTCATTTCATTCTGATGAAACACAATCAATAAAATTGCATTAGCTAGTAATTTATTCAACCAACAAAACTAGAACTAAACCAATTTAAATAATTGGTTAAGGATGCTGCAGAGTTAAGTAATAAAAATGGAGAAGATGAATGGATTTCTTGGATGTACAGATCTGATCCACAGAAGAGATAAAAGGGCAATGCCCTTTGAATGAGTTTGCATGACATGGTGGTTAGCATGGTAGGCTAAGACTGGGGAAACTAAGGTACAAGCTGCCTGCGTGACTTTGGACCACTCACTATTTCTCTACTCAACCTCTCCCCCAGACTTTAGCTTTGAGGAAGGAATAGCACGTATATCACCTTGAATTCCTGGAGAAAAGGCAAGTTATTTCTTTAACATATTTATATTTGTTTATTATAGTTTTAGAAATACTCACAGCAAGGAATTTAATAAATTGATGAATAACTGAAGCTCAGATATCAGAAGCCCTAGCAAGGGGGTGAGCAACACAGCACTCATACAGTGGATGCCTGGGCACCTATAATGCCACTAGGTGGCAGCCACTGATCTCCAGGGTGAAGGAAAAAAGAAAAAAAAAACACA